TTCCTGTGAGACAACCGATCACGCACCGTGAAAGCAAATCACATAATGTCAACTCCATTTCATGATTTCTCACACTTGTTTCATAAAATATTGTTTCTGCAGTGAAAGATGAGGATTCGGACATGGACGAACCAGAGGACGAAGGTTCAGACAGCGACATGGAAGAGTGTCGACCTTCTAAGCCACGGCCCACACGAAACGGCGTCGTGGCAGGTACACAGACGAGGGAGAGCCACGTTCTTATGATCAACTATTAGTTCCTTGGGAAAATGCTTTCTATGATTCTGATTGGTTTCATATCTGCGATTCTCAAAAGAAAATGTTTGAATTCTATCATCAAAGTGTGTTTTGTTGCCTCTGTTTGCACCATAGGAAGAGGAGCTCGATTCATCGGGAACATGCAGGGTGGGGACAGTGATGAGGTTAGTACTGACATAGCAGCATCGATACAAGATAACTTAAATTAAGCCTGATGTATCTTCTTCTTGAAGACTTTTATTGCTGATTTTACTCCCAGTGACCTTAGATGGCGCTTTCTCTGTTGTCACAACATTATTTTTTTGTCATTTTTAGTGTCCCGTGCACCCGCTCGGATCTGTTTCAGATCCCTTTGGGTTTCCATTTCGTACTCTGTTCCGTATCTCATGATTTTCTGTCATTCACTTGTATTTGAAAAGCTCGCTTTAGCCGTTTCCAGAAGCTCATTCCCTCATGCCAAAAAACAACGGAAAGTAAAGGTTTGCGCAGGACCAGGATCTAGTTCACTCCTTGTTCGTCTGTGTATTTAAAGGAAAAATCCATTCTCAAATTCTCTGACACAGGATAGAGGTTTGTTCACACGATAAGGAATGGATCTTTATCATTTGCAATAGCATAGGGAATGCAACTTATTTTCTGCACAAAAACCAGTGTGGAAGCATATATGATACAGTAATAAAACTCACTTAGCCGTGTCTTTAGTGTTAGAGAGAAATGATCGCTTCATTGCATTCTGCTCGACTGCTGCATCTATAGGTGGAAATATAGTATCTCTGTCTCTTGCACAATGTATGGCCTGTATCATTTCTGAACATTGGTGCAGATGTTGAAAAGTTTGGAATGGATTTTTCCTTTTTAAAGTAGGTAAATGGTTTAACTGATCCCTGTAGTGATCTGGCTCCTGGTGGACATGTCCCAGTTCAGTTATTCATGGGTAAATCAATTCTGAACTGGGCGTGTTTTCATTACAGCCGAAGAGGTGATTCAGTGATAGTAGATCCTCCTCCTGTCTGATTGATGTTTTTGTGAGACGTTAGCTGGTTCAGT